TTGTTCACATAGTAAAAAAGTCCCTATCCTTGACATCCAAGTTAATCTATTATCACAGAGAAATAAGTGGCACGCTCTACGCAGTAGAACATCCAAGAAATAAAAAGGGTGATGGTGGAAGATGTGCCCGATGGTATGACAAAAATTGCTCGTTTCAGAATCGTGGTTTTCTTCCAAATCTTGGGGTCACGAGTATTCAAAGATGATTTCACCGGCTGAATTTTGCAGAACTTATCTGAGTATGACCATGTATTCTGGAAGTGTGGCCTAGAGATGAACAAAAGATATATAGTTGGAGAGATTCGCTTGTATTAATGAAAATTGAACAGCAGGCATCGTGAGTGCTTACCTCGTCCTTGTCAATGATCAATATGGAATCGGAGCGCGGGCTAACGACGCTAACGACAAACATGATTTTTTTTTTACCGAACGGATCACAATATCCAATAGACACGCTCGGATCATTTGCAAACCACATTCCTTTATCGATCGATGGGTGGGATAAAGAATTCATGAGCATGAACGAATAAATAAGAGTCATGTGACATGCAGAGGAAACACTTACTATTGGTGTAACGAGAGAATCTAGTTTGATTTCCATATTGCGCGATACCACATCCTCCACAATAGGACTTGCAAAATGACCGATTTTTTTCATGGTTATTCTTAAGGAATCGTTCGGGATTACAACCTTTGCGAGTCTTTGTACCATGGAACATACGGTGCGTCACAACTTCCTCATTGAGAAAATTTTCTCTGGCAATTCTTTTCTTGTATTTCATATGGGAATCGACAATGCTAACTGGCATTTGCAAACGTATTATTCCCTCAATATCACTGTACATTTGAGTTTTTCCGAATAAATTTGCAATATTGATGTATTCATTATCATATGGCTTTAGCCTCTTCATTATAGTCTTATGTGATTTGCCTTTAGAACTGTGTTTTCTGCTCGTTTCTTCGCTCTCTGTATCTAACGCCAAAGAAGTTCCATAAGCGGAATCGTATGTGACGCCAGACCCTCTGCTGTTAATGGAGTTTTGTGATGTGGACGCCTGATTGGAGGAAAAAGGAAGCTTGCTTGGAATATTCAAGCTGCTACCACATGAAACATCTCCTTCGCTCGGTACGGCACTTATCCTCGAAGATGTATGGTGCGCGGTGAGCCCTTTTGTCGCACAATTTATGCTACAATATACATCTTTTCTTTTTGCACATGGATTTCCGCATCCTTCTATTTGGCATATCGGTTTTTGTTTCTTGATCTTACGACTCAATCCTTTCAGAATTCGAAGGAATCCTGTAATACCGGATTTCTGTTTAGGTCTCGCGTTGGTAGTCTCCTGAGACATCTTTATTCGAATTTGGAGGTTATATAATATGGATCGTGTTGTGCAAATCGGGTGAATTGTTTGAATTCAGGATTTTAAAACGATGACTTCCTTTTTTTATAGGGTTTTTATTTCTCACGCCGGAAACTTCTATCCGGGGATTGGGGATCAAGTCTTTTCTATTGTGCGACTCAATCATGCTCGACTGCTCGATGATTTTATGTATGAATGATATGAATGGCAACTCAAAACGGGGGATGTCATTTTTTCCAGAACACAAGATCTCGAGAATCAATCAAAGCTTCCCGACAATGGGTTGTTCGTACAACAAACAAAGAACAGATGATAATTGAATCGAAAGAAAAGTTCAAACCCTTAATCAAACTTCCATTTTCCCTAGCTATAAAAAGAAAAGTTCTATTTTTTGCAGTGTAGGTTTATTTATAGAGTGCATACATATGTTGTGCGAATATGTCATGCGATAACGGCTATGATGTATCCTAAAAGATAAAAAAAAAAAAAAACTCATTTTCAGCCAGACATTTTTTCTATATGTACAACAGTGTTTCACAAGCTTAGATATTGTAGTATTGAAGTACAGGTCTATATAAATTGTGTTGTAATACGCAGAGGCGGAATAGAGTTTGAGTTCTTTGTTAGTAATGTCTTTTCCCTCTGGAACGACTTCCAAGTCAAAATTTTGATGAAGCGAATACTCAATTGGTTTGGTCTGCGAACAATCGAATCGAATCTCGCTGCTACCATTCGAGATGGAAGTTTCCTGGATCCTTAAAAAAAAATTTTAAGGTAGCGATTCACAGAAAATGTAGATGATGAAATACACACATCATTCTTTTGAACGTATTGCGTCACACATGTGTCCACTTATGTACGCACACCCTTTTTTGGTAACGATGGGTACATCCATAAACAG